GTAATTTAATAAAAAAATTAAGTTTTTTTTAAATTTATCGGGTGGTCCTAAACTTTTGGCCAGGGAGTGTATATATACCACATTGTATAAAAAAAAAAAATTTGCAGATCGTTCTAGATTTAGCTTTACATGTTAAAAAGGCCTTGCCTGTTGTACATTATTGTGAGGTACTTAGTTGTAGTGGCGGAGAAGACTATTGCATTGGGCATGAGAGAAATTCCTTAGTGTAAACGAGTTTTGAGGAAACGTGATGTTACCAGCAGATGGTAAAACACCATCCATATTGGGGAATTCGCGAAATTCATCGGCATCGCGAGACGCGTTGCCATTATTAGTTCTTGCCATACTTGTTTGACAACTACAGAAAAGTTAATCATAAGTTTTGATATATTTTCAAAATAATAACGAGGCTTTCATAACCACCTCACGTCAAAAAGAGAATAAATAGTGCCATTTGGTGCACAAGCATTGGCTATGGCTTGATATATGGCGCCATTTGGTGCATAAGCATTGTTGATTCCATTGGTTATGGCTTGATCTATCGCGCCATTTGGTGCACAAGCATTGTTGATGGCATTGGTTATGGCTTGGTCAGCAATACCTCCATTTGAGAAAGCCATTCTGGAAAAATAACTTCCAAACTATTCTTACCGCGTGTTGTCACAAGCGAGTGAGAGTATTCTCTCCACGCACCGAGTTCAGTATCTGTCACAGTTCCTAGATATACTGTTAAAGCACATTTCTCAATTAGATACGAAGAAGGACTGTGTCTTGCACTATGAGACCTACCATTGGCTATAACTAGTTTATACATCAAACGGTCTAATTGACCTAATTCTTGGTGAGTTGGTGGATTAGAAGGTTGAGTTGGCACCACTTCTCTTGGTATATTTGTTGGTAGGTTCGGTTGTTGGGCCATTTTTATTTTGGAGAAAAAGAGGAAGAAAGAGAGAACTCGAGATTGAATAGACGTGTTTAATGTATAGTGGCGGTCTGATGACAAATCTTAATTATTTAATAAACTCGCTTGACTATAAATTTGATCATATTTATTATATATAATTTTTTTATTTCTTTTTAGAGAACGTTACTAACGTTTCATTTTTGTTTTATTTTCAGGAACAACGGACAGGCGGAACAGCACTTGGACTGGTAATTGAACTTTAAATAAAAGAGGTCTTCTTTTTTTTTTATTGAAACACTACTAACGTTTTTTTTTACGCTTTATAGGAACGGGATCTCAAATTAAAATGTGTATTACTAACGTATAAGGTTACTTCTTTTGTAATTTTAACATGAGGTTTGGGATGTGTACTTTCAACTACATGAGAATGTTACAAGATCAATCATCTCATTTAAAAACATATTACTCGATATTAGTTCTTTTAAAACAAATACAAAGTTACCTTTATTCAGATATAAATTCGGATATTATCATGTTGTAGAGTCCGATAATATACAATAAGTTGATTTTTTATATATATAGTTATTTTTTATCAAAAATTTTCTTTCAAAGGGTATTGTTTGATTTATTTGTAATTTGAGATTATCTTAATAATATTTTATTTTTATATAAAATTGATTTACTTTTTTAATCAAATCATTGCAATTATTTTTTTTTTCACTTTTTAATTTTATCATTATTATTAAAATAATAATCTTATTAAAAACTATAATAGGATTAATATAAGATTAAAAATACCAATTTTACTATAATTGTATAAAACTTATTGTTATATATTGATGTAGGTAATTCAGTTTCTAATATAAAAGATTTTAATATTTTTAATTATATTTAATTGGAATTTATTTTTTAATATTATATTATCTTTTTATATTAAAAGATCTAAATTTTTAAATATTATTTTTAATATAAGGTAAAATAAATTTCAATAGGTTTATATTAGTAATCATTATTATTTAAATTTAAAATTGGATACCAGTCAGGTGACATATCCGATGATCTGCATGTCAAAAATAATCTATTATAAGATCGAATCGACAACTTGCATTATCATAATAAAAATACCCAAAATCATATAGATAAACATAAATATACAATCTTTCAGATCTATTTTACCAACATTAACCTATAGTACTACAGTTAATAAAATGGATCTACTTATAATTCGGAGATGATTACTTTATTTTCAGTTTTATTTTTTCCATAATTGCTTTCTTTTACGAGAATCTTTTGAACTAATATTAGCAAATTTTGAATAAATTTGGTTAATAAAGGATACTAGCTCTTCTTTTAACTTTAATTTTGCAGAAAGAGATGTCCAGTAGGATACCACATGTGATATAATTATATCACATGTGGTATCCCACTTACTCTAGATTATAGTATCATATATAATCTAAATATTACATATAATCTAAATATCATATATAATCTGAATACTACATATAATCTAAATGGTGTGGTCTAACTACCACATATAATCTAAATGATATAATCTAAATACTTTATATAATTTAGCATTTTATTATTTCTTATATCACTTTTACATTCTAGTTATGTCTTTAAATCTTTCTTGATATTCGTGTTTTTTATGTTAATATACTTTTTATTACCACATTATAATCTAAATTCAAAGCATAAAGCCATTAAATTGTATATGAATTTATTCTATAGTATGACAGGTCAAAGTGATTTCCTATTCTATAAACTTAAACTCGCCAGAAATGTTACTTTGACTAGACGAGAAAATATCAAACTTGTTACAGAATTCGTGAAAAAGAAAGGTTTTGGAATAAAATATGGTGATACTGATTCTTTATATCTCACTTGCCCAGATTTTTATTATGAGAAATTTGATCTAACTTATGATGTTAAAAAAGGCGTAATCTTGAAACTAGAGTATTAGACCGAAATGATTGAAATTACTATGGTTGTAATGGAGAAATTGCGCAATAAAGTAAACACCTTTCTTAGACTAAAAACTAGATCAGATTATCTTAAAATAGCATATAAAGAAGTATTATTCTCAGTAGTATTCATAGGGAAGAAAAATATTTTAGCATTCCCCATGAAAATATTCTAAATTTCAAACTGAAAGAGCTTTTTATAAGAGAAATCGATACTGTGAAATAGGGTAAATCCCAAGTTTTCAGAACTATAGGGGATAGGATTATGTCAAAAGCTATGGATATTAACAATGATCGATCACTTCATGATATTGTTGAAGACGTTCTCAAAGATGCTATAACCAATCCCAAGTAATGGAATTTCGAGCAGTTTATAGAAACTGATACATGAAAACCTAATGTGAATAACTAAAGTGTTCAGCAATTATAGGACAAATAAGGAAAAAATATGAGAGTAGAATTCTAACATTAAGTGAATACTTTAGTTATATAGTGACCTATCAGACACGACTTTTGATTCACATGACAGGAAGTTAAACTCAACTAAAGGCGACAAAATGGAATTTGTAAATATAGCTAAGGAATTAGATAAGAAGTTAGATTTATATCATTATTATGAAAAAACTATCATTGGTTTTTATGTCTAATTTATCATGTATGAGAAGAAATACAAGCCCATTTCTACAAATGGAATCATACAAATTAAAGATCCAGATGAGAAATATATGTAGATTAATAATTATGCTTAAAAATAGGCTAAATTGTAGCTTAAGGGATTTGTTAAAGAGAATATTATAGTGAATAGTATTATTTTCTAAACAATAATATTCCGCAGAAATGCTTATAAATATGCCTATAGAAATGCGATCAAAGAAGCATAAAAAATGTTATATCAAAAGATAAGTAGTTTTTATGAAATATTTCATAGTGAATGGCTTAGCTATGAGATTTTCATGATAAATAACCCTGTTGAGATATTATAAGAGAAATTTATAAAATGCGCTAGAAGAATTTTAAAAGATAAAAACCTCTCAGTAGATGACGAAATAAAGGAAAAAATATGCTCTAATTTTGCTTAATATCTTAGCAAGTTTGTAAAGTGTATTAAAGAGTATAATTTATTCTTTCACAAATTGGTCTATTATATGCATTATAAAGAGCATGTATCGATTTCAGAAGAAATCAGCCCAGTTTCATCTATACGAAAAAATGAGATAATTGCTAACTTACTTGCCTTACCTCACATATCAGAAATTGAGATGCTAGATAACATTAGTAATTTATAGTATTTCTATCTTGAGAATGTAACTGAGCTGAAGACGCTAAAGCAAAACACTTAAATAGATTATATTATTAAGTATTCTAGTGGAGGTGTGGCAATTTCAGCTAAGAAAACTTATAATATTATTTATGATCGCATATTTTTTCTTGTGCAATAATACTAGCTAACTTCAATTTTTATTTTTGAACTTCCAGCCTCTAATTATACAACCCAGCCTTGAAAATGCCTGGAGATGAAAAAAAAAATTTTGGATAGAAGAATACTCAGTATTACTTTTTTTCATGAATTCTAGTATTTTCTGATCACAAGCCATATAACTGTTCAGGTGTAATCATCTCATATAAGACAACAGTTACACAACTTATTAAAAATTTTTTTATATAGTTTAAAATACAGTTTCAGAGGTCTTACATTAGGCAATTCTTGCAATGAATCATAGGTAAATAAAATAGGTAAACTTGAAACTTTAGCACTGTGTTGTAATAATGACTGTTGAATCTAACAACTTTTATAATACGAATTAATCCAGCAAAAACATGTCTGAATAGAAGCATTATATGGAATGTAAAACAATTGAATCAACAAGATTCCATCTGTTGAAAGGAAATAAATGGAAAGAAGTTAAACTAAACAACTTAGTGAAGTTAACGTGAACAGAAGGTGTTGTTTTATGTAATATTTACTATATGAATTTGGTAGAAAATCCTTTAAAAAGACCTAAAAAAAAAGGCTATGGTTGAAGAAAAAGCCATGGATGAAGAAGCTACAAATGAAGAAGCCACAGTTGAAGAAGGGTAAATACAAAGATTGAGCTTACTAGAGCTATCAAAGCGATGGCAAAAATCTTTTATGATAGAGAATATTTAAAGAAAGAAGGTCTGATCTATGAATTTGATAAAATACGAAGTTTGCTTCAAGGGATTGAGCTGAACTTGAAGGATTTTTTTAATCAACTTTATTTAGTAGCTTGACCACTCGAACGTAACAAGCAAATAATGAACTGTATGAAGAAATTAATGGTGTTCATATATTACTTCCTTACTTCGCTAAATAATACTAAAATTAATTTCTTTAAATTTGACTTCACACTCTATTTAGATTCAATAGATACAAATAATAAAAGCTTGAATACAATGGCAAATCTTGGCGTGACTATGACATCAAGAACGGTAGATTGCAAGAAGAAAAAAATTTTAGATTTGCATAGAAAATATATAGAAAATGTCCTTGTGAAATATTTAGAATAGGCTTTCGTGTTGAATATCGATGATTATCACAATATTCATGTTCAACAACAACCTGACATTACTAGTATATCTTGGGCAGCATATATGGCAACAATCATAATGAATCCTTGCCTATGTTAGCGATATCGCATGATGAGACACTTAATCTGAAAATCATTGACAAAGAGTTAATTACGAAGCATCTTAATAACTGATTTATCATAAATCTTAATATTTCTTATAATGATCATATGCGAGACTATAAAGTTAAAGAATATTCTGATGATGAGCTTATGGATAGACTGACATTGTACAGTTACAATGATAGGTTAGTGGAAAAAAAGACAAATCAGCATGTACAGAATGCTATCCTCTTCGATTTCGTTGAAAGTAATTTGAAAGACGTGAAAGATTATACAAAAGCTCTTTGAATTGTATATGATCAAGAATCAATACAATTGTACCTTTCTAACTATGCAATTCCCATTGTTGCAGACTGGCCTGGTCAGTTCTTCATTCGTAAAGCCATTACACACCAGCTTCTTCTCAACAATGAAATGATTCCTTCATTTGTGATAGCATTTTTGCCTATTATGAATCCTCTCTATGTGTTTTTGAATGGTCGTAAACTTGTATTTATGAAAAATTCATTTTTATTTAACAATATTTATAAAGAAATATTCAGCAAAAATAAGGATCTTGGTAAGAAGCTATGGCTATGGTGAATTGATTTAATGCTTCATATTATGCGCATGGCGTGGCTTGATATAGTTGACATTACTTATTCTAAGTTTAGTCATACATGCAAAAATATTGAATTCTTATATTTAACTGATCTTTTGAGCAATTTAATTCCTTTAGTCCTTGATGTTTACGCAATTCACCATCGAAAAGGTAATTGGTCAGCCTATGAAGAAGCTTGTATGCACTGCTTATAGATGAGGGACGAAACCCCTTAATAACAGTCGAAACTTAGACGAAACTATATTAAAATCATAATAAGGGATACGACGAAACCCATTCGATACGACGAAAGCCGAAACTGTCAAAACTATATTAAAAACATAGAAAAGAGTATGACGAAATTATTTTGAGGAGGTTTCGGCAGGCATCTATAGCACTGCTGGAATGATCTTTTTCTTCAATTTGATTAAAGGAATTATAAATGTGCTCTTTTAATGTTCTTCTTTGATATATTTTATTGAATGAAGACAAATCACCTGATGATCAATATGGTTACTAACCACCTTACTTCTTTAAGCGATTGTCCTATAAAATTATTTATAGCATCATTCGATGATGTACAGCTAAGTTTTTTACTGTACAGCAATTGCAGAAGGAGGCACGTTTTATTTTTTAGCATCAAGAGGATGATACTTTTTGACAAAATTTTGTGAATTCTGTAAAATATTTGTATATACCAAAACAATTGTATATACTTTCCCAAAAGTGTGTCATATTACTTTTAGATACATTTACGAAGATATATCAAGTATGATATCAGTATCCTTTGGTTGTTAAGACTTCATCTAATAGAATTAATTCGTACAAGTTGTCTTCTTTAAGTTACGAAATAACTGATCGTTACCTTTCTAGAGGTTTTATTACTTCTAAAAAACCCTTTACAACCGTCTTATATGATTACTTATATTATGATTATACTAACCATTTGGATGATTATAGCATTCTCGCATATGGGCATGGTTACTATAGCCATTGCCTACAAAGATGTCAATCTAAATGTTTGATATGTTTAGACTATCTTCGGATTGAAATTAAAAAGAATATCGATGTCATAAAAGAAAATATGATGAAAAAATTAAATAAAAGTGAATTCATTGATGAGAATAATGAAAGTACAGTCAATAATGATTTGGATAATGTTGAAATGGTAACAGATGATATAGCAACAATGAAAAATTTATTAGAACACGCAAAAAGATCATTTCTTGAGTTGTAATTTTTTTGTTTTTATTAAATAAATTTGTTACATTTGTTAAGCATATATATATAAATTAATCATTCATATTTTATTTTAACTAATATCTTAAATATCTTTATTATATCTTAAACATTGATATTTATAACTTCTATATAAATAATTTTTGCATATTTACATTTAAGACACACAATAAATGATTTTTTGATTTTTTTATATTATCAAAATTCGTGATTTTGATTGGTCAATTGATTTTTATATTATAAAATTCATGATTTTGATTGGTTAATCAATGATTACAAGAGTTGAAATTTTGTATTACTAGGACAGTCCCTTCTGAATAATTGGTTAGTATAATGCATTACGGTTGATGCAGTTAGATTAGTTAGCCAAAATTGAAGACGAATCCATTCTTCACATGAAAGTTTAATGTTTAATGGCAATAATGAATTATATTTGGCTTCTAATCTTTTATTATAGTTTCATGAAGATCACGAATTGAAATAGCCAATGGCATATACAAAGTTAATCCTTATCATCAATCATCAACTGCTAGAATATTCTATTATATTTAGAATTAAAAGTAAATAATATATTATATAAAAATAATAATTAATAATAATTCACAAATAATAAATTACTTCATTAAAATATGCATTCATTTTATTCTAAAAGATATTGAACTCCTTGCCTTTAAAGCTATTGTTAATTCACAAATCAACAATTATTGATAGATCTTCAAGCATAAGCATTTATTTGTAATTGATCTTTAATTTCTTTGCAAATAGAATTTGATATTGTAGAAGTGTTACTAGTTAAATTGTAATATAAGGTGTGAAGCATAGCTAAAGTAACCTTTTAATAAGAGAATACTTTAAGGCAAATAAATGTATATTTATTAATTTAATTAATATAATTAAATAAACTTATAAATTTTAATTTATACCTTATTTAATACATTTTTTCTCATTTGACAAGTAAAATACTTTGGTAAGTTTTCTTAAATTATTGCTATTATACTGCATTTTCTGTTTCTGACCGTTGATCTACTAACAATGAAATTTTTTATATATAATTAAGAGTATTAAGATAGTTGTCTTGATGATACTGATAAATTATTATAGGAAAATTAAGTCACAAATCTTTAATATAATAATACTTTTATATCAAATCAAATGGAACATATTCTTCAAGATCAAAAACTTATAATCGTTTTTTTCAAGCAAAAAGTCTAATAGGTTTTGATATTTGTTATTAATGTTTTGAGATCCTTCAATAGTATATACTTGCAAATTTTGATTGAAATCTTATATTATTAAATTATTATTATGACGAACATTCATTTCAAAATTAACTCCTTGTAAATATTTTACATATTTTCTCACTATATTTGTTAATTTAAATACTTGTGAAATGAAATCAATTCACTTTATTTCACTTGTTCATAGTTGTCCGATTGAAAGTTCTAATGATTGTGCTAAATGCTCAAGCTTTTCTTTTTCAAGTGATTTTTTTTATGATGTCCAGTAAAATAAAAATTATTATAATACTTATCACATTGATATAAATTTAATTCTTTAAAAATATCTGAAATATTTAATGAATGAGCAGTTAATGTGCTATGATGTGAATCGATATACTAAAAAAGAGTTACAAGATAATTCACAAATATTTTTACAAAGCTTTCTTGATTTTCACTCTAACCACCCTTTTGTTTTTTTTTTAACAATGCTATAATATCATTATATAAAACATCTTTTTATGTATTTTCTTTTTTTATTGATAGAAAATATAGTTAATAAGCATGTTCCATTATAATATCAAATGCAGTTTATCCTACCAGTTGTGTTGATTGTGATAGATCATTAAATTCTTCAGTTTGTACAATAAATCATATATATTTTAATCCTAACTCTAACATTAAAGATATTTCATCATAGAATCCTTCTTTGAGATAGTTCCACTTATCATCACTTTTTCCTACATAGACTTTTACATCCCAGTTGCCAAATATGCCTTCAATAGTTGCTTCATATATTTCGCCAAATATACATATGCTTTCAGCTACTTTAATAATTTGCTGACCGATGATATTTTTTTGTCCCTCATTAACACTAACAAAAAAGTGTATCATATTTAAAAGTTAGGAAAGGTGACTCACAAAATTTATGATAATGATTAAATTTGATGAAATTGAATAAGAAAAGATGTATCAAATGCAAATTGTATGTAAAAAAAAATTTTCCATTTTTTTACGCAGCACTTTACTATGATTGAACATATTAAAACTTGATAAAGTTTTGCAAAAGAAGGATTTTAGGCTTTATATAAAAACGGGTTGTGATACACACATAGTACATATTATATGCATTCTTTAAAAATTGAACACAAAATCGTGATAATCAACATTTATTTTATAGTAATTATATATAAACTTTTTTAATAACCGTCATGTGAAAATTCAATTATATCTAAGGTCTATATATAAATATTAGTATTGTTCAAATCTATTTCAAAAACTGAAGGAGAGGAGGGGGGTTATATTAAACAAACCTTTTAATTAGTCTGGCCTAATAGCAAGAAAATCAAAAATTCAATTGCTAAATTCTCTTTTAAATTATCATGTAACTTTTCTGACATTTTTAACTAGTTTTTTTAATAGACTTTTAAGTGAAATTTTTAAAAAAAAATTAGTTATCTTAAATATCAAATGAAAGCAACGCTAAAAATTCACAAATATTCTTAATTATAAATATATCACTAAAATCACCACTTTTTTTGTTTCAATTATTATTATTATAGCATTTCCTCTCTTAGCATTTAGTTTAATCAAATAATAGCTAGCTTATCTCAAAAACTTAGACTATTTTCATCATTCTGAAAACTTTTATCAAATCTTAATATTATTGGTCATACAGAATGTCATGAAAAAAGACTAGAGAAAAAACAGATAATTGAAGTTGACCCAATGAAAAGATTATAAAACCTAATATCTGGAATCTAGTAGTTATTGATAACATTGACTTTAAAGAAAAGACTTTCAAATATGATAATATTTTTGATACCATTCGTAACAGTTTTCATATAACTCTTAGAATGGCATTTTAAATTAAAATACTGATATCTTTAGACGAAAACCCTAATGATAAAAAAACTATTACTTCTCCAACTGGACTTTTTGGTATGAATAATATGACAAGGGACATGTTAGATATATTTGATGAAATTGTAGATGATTTTTTTGATTTTCATATAAATGAAAGTGAACAATTCGTTTATAATAAGAATTTTGATATGATAACTATTTATTGTAAAATTTTAGAAAGAATAGAATATGGATGCTCTGGAGATTCACTAAATATAGTATTATTAGATGTAGGAGAAATTCTAAACTCAGATGAAAAAATATTTCAATCTACAGAAATATATGTAAATAATTTAAATTTACATACACAAGAATATTTAGATGTAATAGCAGATGAAGCAATTTTTAGGAGACTTATGAAGCAACGCAAGCAATGGCTATATTTTCATCTAATCCTTAGACAATAGCACACTTCAAAAGACATGTGTAGTGTATTGATCATTTTATTTTCAAGTTATGGAATTTTTGATCTGGCTTAAGAATTAGGTGTAAAATTTTTAGATAAACTGAATAAAGTAGTTGATTATTATTCAATAGTACGCGTTTTAGAATTAATTTGGAGTGCTATTATTATTGCTATTCGAATTTATCTAAAAAATAATAATTTACATAAATGTAATGTGATAAATTCAGATAGTGATACAAATCTATAATATACTAAAAAAATTTGTGTGAAACCGTAACGTTTAGATTATTAATTTATATGTGTATAACAGTCACGTTTAGATTATTGATTTATACGTGTGCAACCATCCTTTTGAAATGAATTAAATAAACAAATGTGCAACCTTCCCTTTTGGATAAC